AGAATACATTTGATTTGATTTGTGATTAAAGTTTATGATTTAATTGTGATTTAATTGATGAAATCGTTCTAATCAAACGATTTGTTTATCATTCAATGGAAAGATATTTATGATCATTCCATCAAATGATGCTTAAATCATTTCATCGAACGATAAATAAATCGTTTGATTGGAACGATCCAAAATATCATTCTATCGAACGATTTAAGCATCGTTTGATGGAATGATTCAAAATATTATTCCATCAAACGATAAACGAATCGTTTGATTGGAACAATCTAAAATATCATTTTATCGAATGATGTTTAAATCATTTGATGAAAAATATTTTTCCAATCAAATAAATGTTGCAACCAATCAACAAATTAATACATGTTGTAACAAATTAATAAATTTTTTCAAATGTTGCAACTATGTTGCAATATATGTTATAACAGTGGTATGTTGCAACATATTCATAAAGGCTACCATCTTTAATTCTAATAAAATTTTATATTAAAATATTTCTGAAAACTTACATAATAAATAAAAATGTTTAAATCTTTATATTAAATTTAAAATTTTATTTTTTTACTATAGTGTATCAGACTTTTTGCATCAGATCATATATACTTTTAAAATTAAATTTTATACTCTTTATTACTTTTAAATTATTATTATATATTCTAATTTATAATATTTATTGATATTCAATTTGTTAAATAATCTATTCAAATATATTGAAATATTTATTATTTATCTTAAAAATAATAATTCAGTAACTGTAAATACATTTAACTGATTTTTTATACTCAAAATTAATTACTAATATAATTAAATAGTCTTTTATTAAGAACAAATGTAGTTGATATATTAAGTATTTTTATTAAAAATTTGAAAAGTTTTAATATTATTAAAATAATTTTTAAATACAATCTTTTTACTTTCTTTTATATCTTGAAATCCAAAAATATGCAATTGAAAACTATCAATTAATGAAAATTTAATATTGAAATTTTTATTAAGATTGTAAGATTATATATTATTTTGAGATTTGATTTCATCAGATTAAATTTTAATTTAATCTTATTCTTATAATTTATTAGGCTAACTATCTATTCTTTTATATCAAAAATCAAAAAAATTATTAAAAATATAATTATAAGAGAATCATTATAATATTCAAATAAAGTATTATAATTTACTTTTAAATTTTATTAAATAATAAAAGTAATATCTAAAAGTTGCTTATAATTAAGTTAGCAATTATTAAAAATAAAAAAATTTTAAAAAAATATTAAACTTTTTTTTATCTTCTTTAGTTAAAGTATTAAAATTATATAATAAAATCTAATAGATTTTAAGTTAAATATATTTATGATATTATATAATATTCTTTACCTTTTAAAATTAAATAATGCATTCAATTTATATATGATTATGTGAATAGGATATGATCTTTTGAAATAGGGTAAAATATAGCATTCATATCTACTAGAGCAGTAATAGCTAGAGCATTAATGGAAAAAGCATCTAAATTATTTAAACCTGATAATTGCCTATTAAAGCCTGTGCATACTATAGAGATATGGATGAAAAGCAGAGACAAAAAGACTTCTCTGATATTAATATTGCTTGGAGTGAGCTTGACTGCATAACCTATACAAATACCATAAAAGCTGAAATATCATTCGAAGTTATAGGCTACTTTGATATAGTTATAGTTATTACAAATATTGC